ATGGCCCCTCAACGTCGTCGCACGGGCAAAGGCACCAAGGATGCCCATGCCAACCTTTCCGCGGAAGAACGTACCCAACAAGGTACGGAAGCCAAGAACCGTGGTAACGAAGCGTACGCCGCCGGCGACCACGCCACGGCCATCAAGGAGTTCACGAACGCCATCGGTTTCGAGCCCACCAACCACATCTACTACTCGAACAGATCTGCGGCGTACTTGAGCGCGGGCAACGCTGCGTTGGCTTTGCAAGATGCCAACAAGTGTATCGAGATCGACGCCAAGTGGGGCAAGGGCTACGCCCGCCTCGGTGCCGCGTACTACTTCATCAAGTCGTACCAAAAGGCCGTGACTGCGTACACCAAGGGTTTGACCTTGGACAAGGGCAACAAGCAATTGCAAGCCGGTTTGACGCAAGCGCAAGCCGCCCTCCAAGTGCTTGAAGAAGAAGCCGGTGGCGTGGAGATGGACGACGCCACGCGCAAGTTGAAGCGCCTCGAGATCGAAGAAAAGATCAACAAGGCCCGCGCCGACCGCGAAGAACGTGCCAAGCGCGCCGAGCGTGGTTTCTCGGAAGTGATCGGGATCGATCTCGGTACCACCTACTCGTGCGTGGGTGTGTGGAAGGATGGCCAAGTGGAAATCATCGCCAACAGCGAAGGCAACCGCACGACCCCTTCGTGGGTGGCGTTCAACGAAACCGAGCGCTTGATCGGTGAAGCCGCCAAGATCCAAGCCGCGTCCAACGCCACCAACACGGTGTTCGACGCCAAGCGTATCATTGGCCGCAACTTCAGCGACCCGATCGTGAAGAAGGACGCCGCGCACTTCCCGTTCAAGATTACCGCCGGGGACGACGACAAGCCGTTGATCGAAGTGACGTTCAAGGGCGAAGCCAAGAGCTTCACCCCCGAAGAAATCTCGTCGATGGTGCTGACCCGCATGAAGGAAACCGCGGAAAACTACCTCGGCCAAGAGATCAAGCAAGCCGTGGTGACCGTGCCTGCGTATTTCAACGACCAGCAGCGTCAATCCACCAAGGACGCCGGCGCCATCGCTGGCCTCGACGTGAAGCGCATCATCAACGAGCCCACCGCCGCCGCCCTCGCGTACGGGTTGGACACGAACGCCGGCGCGGAAGGCAAGTCGAACATTTTGATCTTCGACTTGGGCGGAGGCACGTTTGATGTGTCCATCTTGTCGATTGAGAACGGCATCTTCGAAGTCAAGTCCACGGGCGGTGACACGCACTTGGGTGGCGAAGACTTTGACTCGAACATGGTCGACTACTTGATCACCGAGTTCAAGCGCAAGAACAAGAACTTGGACCCGACGACGTCGGCCCGGTCCATGCGCCGCCTGCGCACGGCGTGCGAGTCTGCCAAGCGCATGCTTTCCACGACCACCAGCGCCACGATCGAAGTGGACTCGCTCTTCGAAGGCGTCGACTTTAGCTCGACCATGACGCGCGCCAAGTTTGAGTCGCTCAACGACGAGTGCTTCAAGCGCACGGAAGAAACCGTGTTGAAGGTGTTGCAAGACGCCAACATGAAGCCCGACCAAATCTCGGAACTGGTGCTCGTGGGCGGGTCCACGCGTATCCCCAAGGTGCAAAACATGCTGTCGGGTCTGTTTGGCGGCAAGGAGCTGAGCAAGTCCATCAACCCCGATGAAGCCGTGGCGTACGGTGCGGCCGTGCAAGGCGCGATCCTGAGCGGCATCCGCAACGACGCGACCAACTCGTTGTTGTTGGTGGACGTGACGCCCTTGTCTCTGGGCATTGAAACCGTGGGCAAGGTCATGTCGGTGCTGATCAAGCGCAACACGGCGATCCCGGTCAAGAAGACGCGCGTGTACACGACCGAAGCCGACTACCAAACCCAAGTGAACGTGGTCATCTACGAAGGCGAGCGCGCGTGCGTGGACCACAACAACAAGCTGGGCGAGTTCACGATCTCGGGCATTGAACGCGCCAAGCGCGGCGAGCCCCAAGTGGAAGTGACGTTCGAGATCGACGCCAACGGCATCTTGAACGTGAGCGCCAAGGACAAGAAGACCCACGCCAAGGCCGAGACCACGATCAGCAGCAACGGCGGCCGCTTGAGCCAGGAAGACATTGACCGCATGGTGGCGGACGCGGAAAAGTACAAGAAGGACGACGCCGAAGTGCTGCGCAAGATTGAAGCGCGCAACAACTTGGAAGGGTTCATCTACCGCGCCTTGGAAATCGCCCGCGAAAAGGGCGACAGCCAGGCCGAAAACACCATCCGCGAAGCCCGCGAATGGTTGGAAGACCACGAAGAAGCCACGCTTCGCGAGTTGGAGGACAAGAAGCGATTGTTGGAACGATTGATCAAGTACTAATAAGTCCAACCAACGAACCAAGTGGAGATGATCTAATAACGTCTGATATTCTATTCCCATTCTTGTACACACACTCGTGTTTGTGTTACTTCACAGTAAAAGTGTCTGGAAGAAATATATACTCTGGAGTATCGGTGATGTGCACTCTATTGGTGATATCGGATTGGCTGAATACGGGGCATTTTGGACCTTTATAGCCAGCCAATCAGTACACCTATCCATTCTGCTACACGTAGTATTATTAATATATTTACTGTTATTAATATTAATAGCAGTAAATATATTAATAATACTACGTGTTAATAGTATCTCTTGTGAACAAATCCCTCCGTTGTCAAAGGGTCCATTCGAGGTGTCAGATTGGCTGAAAACATGCACTTTTAGTCTTTGTAGCCAACCACATGTCTCAATTTGGTGCTTCTCGCGTCAAATCAACACGCGCGGACCAAATCTTCGAGCGTCGGCCTTCTCGCACGTGGTGGATACATACCGATAGGTGAGAGCCATTGACGTCTCGCACGACGTTGTCAACATGGCACAAAGTACTGGATCGGTGTGGGATATCTTGGATGGATCCAAGGACATCGTCGGTCGTCCTGCAACGGCCAACACATTCCTGTCAGTAACTGATCACCGTCACAATAACGTTAGCCGCTGAACAAATTGACCATCCCAAAACTTCCAAAAGATCGCCAGATTTGCAGCATCTCTTGGGAGCAATTTAGTAATTGACCATTACACCGTTGACCGTGATTAGTGCCGACGGAATTAATTTTCAACCTCGTCCCCAGACAGACCTACGGCACATGTATTAGTGTAGTGCGGACCGCACTATATCTATGGGCTTGGAGAATTAGTGCGGACTGCACCAATTTTGAATACTAGTATTGTGAGAATTGGTAAGGATTATTATCTTGATTTTTGTAAGTGGGATTTGTTCATGAAAATTCACATCACAAATCGGCATTGATGTAAACAGTCAATAGTGCAGACACATCATGTACAAGGGTTATTACACTGCACTTGATGGCTTCATATGTACCAGAGCAAATTGGGCATCGTGGCATACACCCAATATTGCACGAAATTGTCCGCACTAATTACCAACCACAAATTTCTGGAATTCCATCACACATGTATTAATGACCGCACTAATTCTGTAATTCTCAATCCGTACTAATTACGGTCAACGATGTAGTTTCTTCCTACCCCGAAACTCCGAAACCCCGAACTGCATCTTTGCAACTAGTCGAACTATATCGTGTAGGGCATCACCTTCAGATATGTTAGCGCAACTCCACCGGTCGGAGTTATAGCTCAGATTTATACGGATAACCCTTAGATAGGCCAACCCCGGACTTATTGCTCCCATCGGCAGGTTTTATAGGGGTCAGATTTATATTTGAAAGATCCAAACATAAATCTGACCCCAAAAAGTTACTTCAAGTATGTAATAGACCTTTTTTGCCTCGATTTCTCCATCAGATTTATGCCATCCGGATTCATAGTAATATCAAAATAATAATCCAAAGCAATACTAGTATTTGATATAGTAAAATGAAGTTCCCGCATAATATACATAAAATTACCATTTTGTTGAACTCACAGTCAACACGCAATTTCGACGCGACGGAGCAACGTCCATGAGATTCGACGGCGGCGTCACAGTGAACTGTGCACATCTACGATAACCCCTGTGATGCTTAATTGGACCTCTGAACTCCACCGACTCTCACAGCCCTACGTCGAATGGCTATGCGTCCATCCTGCTGACGCCGTCGCCATAGCCCTAAACATCGCAGCGACAACCAAGTCGCCCCGATTGTGAGGGCGGTGGTGGTGGCATCTGCAGGGTAAACGAATTAGTGAGCACCACGTAGATTGTTTTGTCAGAGTCCACGTCACAGTTGGCTCATGAATACGCATGCTGTGATAATTCATAAGCTCAAGGGTGTGCCCTCTTTTTTGACGAGTGAGATAATTTGCGGCGTCGAACTGCGGCATGCGCATCGACATGATAGATTTCTACTGTAATGTTCGATTGAATGTGATGTGATAGTCGTCATGTGGGATTCATTTTGGCGCCGCATTAGTAGCAGCTACATGTAGTCAGAGTGCCGCAGCCTGTGAGTGTAAATCTGAATAAATCTGAATAAATCTGATGGGTGGGGAAATTGAGATTTATCCCTGGGACACTCCATTAAGTCTCGCTGTTATCTGTACATAATCCGAATACATCTCATTCGATACATCCCACGGGTGGTTTTGCTCTTAGGTGACAATTTCAAGGAGCGTTTGAAGGATTGAGCCCGTCAAACGCTATCCACACTGTAGAATGGAATGGTAAAACTCCACTCGTCATGAACGATTGGTTTGGAGGCGGGCGATCATTGCCGTGGCTATAATTACCATCGATGCGTAGTTACTCCTAGTACTACATACTACAGTAGTACTAGTACATACTAGTAGTACTTATATTTGATCAGCATGGCACTTCCTGAATATTTTTGGCTGTGATTTGGCGGTATATATTTGATCAGCATGGCACTTCCTGAATATTGCGGCCATTGATATGGCGGTATATATTTATTTGATCAGCTTGGCACTTCCTGAATATTTTTGGCTGGTCAGAAACCAAATATCCGGATATTTCCACATCGGACACTATCAAATTAACGTTATCATGAACACTACTGTACTACTAGTAGTATTTGTGAAGTCGATTCGAAATTGGAGTGGGGTTCTCATTTGAATGAGCAGCACCAAATCGGCAGACAATCGATCGACCAATCAAAACTCAGAACACTAATCAAATGCCCAATCAAATTCACTCTTAGACCAATTCAACAACGAATTAGTGTGAGACTGAAATTAGTGTGACACTAGACCATTTTGCATAACTTACAAAGTTCAATGCGAAGAATCGATCGATAGATTTGGCGAATCAGCACAAAAGTCCAAGTTTTGGGTAAAAAAGGACAATGCCGTTTGGTGAGAACCATTGACGCGACGCACGACATCGGTAACACGGCACAAAGTTATCGATCAGTATGGCATAATTTTATGAGGTGGCATCCAGACCAGCTCTAACGTTAGGAATAGAACCAACGTTACGTACAATATATATCGTTTTGCCTACTACTGTACTACTACTATAATAGTTCCCTCATTAACAGTAAAACAGTTCCACTGTTGTTTTGACCCGAAATCCTGTTTGAATGAGGGAATTATTGCATCCGGATACACATTTTCCCCAGTAGCCTTGTAACCTGGGACTCCGTCCTACCCCCGGTGAGTACATACGATGCTAAATCTCCGGGGCTAACTGCATCGCTAACCACTGAGCTGCACTTAACCAACTACTAGTAAGAGGTGAGGTGGCCTGAGCATACAAAATTCCTTATAAATCTCATTGAAACAGTATTTCGGGTCAAAACAACAGTGGAACTGTGTTACACTTAAGGGAATTGTACCTAGTAGTACTATAAATAGTAGACCCAAGGTGACATCTTTTGTGGTGGGATATTGGGTCCCGCCATGTGAATTGGACTATGCCATCCGAATACCATAGATCCACCACAAGCATGGAAGGTCGGCGTCACTATGTGGACCCGTCCATCACAATCGATGAAGGCGAATCCATTCCGTTGCCCCCTACTACTACTACTTCGTTGCCCCTGAAAGCAGCACTCTTCTCCCCGAGAGAGCTTGCTCTCGAGAGCCGTTGCAACTCGACAGGAGGTACATGCTTCTGTCTTCGTCAGGTGAAGTTAACGTAGACATCCTAGGCACAGAGAATGACTTGTGGAAGCGCCGCTCGTCGACCATAAAACTGCAACCAAGAGGTATTCGTGTTAGTTTGAAGTTTGTTTCATCGCGAGCAACCGGGGACGTAGTGTTGGCAACCAAACCGCTTCCATTCGTGCCGCGGCGCCTATCTGGCCGTTCCCGCCTGTATCGGTAGCTTCTCTCTCGTTGCGTCGTTCCCTCGCCCTCCTCATGCGTCGTGTGTTGCTTAGGAGAGTCGAAGGTGAAGCACGCGACCATCACGCGGCGCCTTTGACGATCGTGTTGAAAATGACTGTGGAGGCACACGACGACTTGCGCACGTCGTTTGTGCTGAGTCCGCACCTTCTGGACAACGGCATTGGCAGAGACGCGTCGAATGCTGTGAGCGTTCCTGCAGACAAGCACATGGCCGAGCGCAACCACGCAGTCGTGCGGTTCCACAACGGCGGCGGGTACTTCATATCGAGCCACGATCAGGCCAACTATGGCACGTACATCCGACTGTCGCCGTGCATTCCGGGGGACATGGCGTCGGCCACGCAGTGGCCATTGGCGGTGGGGTGTCACTTTCGAGTGGGCAAGTCCGACTTTGAAGTGGTGGCGATGGAAGACGACGACGACAGCCATGATGTGGTGCTGTCTCTGCGCGTGTTGTGTGGAAAGCTCTCTGGGAAAACGTACCGGCTAGGCTCGGCGGGGGGGACAATCGGGCGGTCGGCTGACAACACAATTCACACGGGTACCGACTGATTGATTGTCCACATTAGGACTTATGATTCGCCAAATCTATCGATTGATCGATTCGTTGTACTGAATATATATTGTCCTTTTACCCAAAATTTGGACTTTTGTGCTGATTCACCAAATCTATCGATCGATTCTTTGGACTGACTTTTTTATATATATAAAAGCGTCCAGTGTCACACTAATTTCAGTCACACACTAATTCGTTGTTGAATTGGTCAAACGAGTGATTTTCATTGGCCACTTGATTAGTGTTGTGGGTTTTGATTGGTCGATCATCGATTGTCTGTCGATTTGGTGATTCTGCTCATTCGATTGAGCACCCAAACACTCCAATTTCGAATCGACTTGACAATAAGAGTGTATGTAAAAACGTGTCCTATGGTGCTACGTATCACCCTAATTCAAGTCACACACTAATTCGACGTGATGTTGGTGGTATCCTGCAGTCTGATTGGCTCAATTCTTGTGTTCTACTTACTACATGTGGTTGGGTCGATGATTCATTCTTGTACACACACTACACTATTGATGATATATTGGACATTTGTACGTTTTTGACTACTGTCTGTGTGTAGGCGACGGGGAGCTCTCGCGCCGACATGCCGCCATTTGGTGGGACGAAACCGGGTTTTACCTGCAAGACTTGGGGTCTACGAACGGCACGTTTATGAAATTGCATGGGGCGTACCGCCAACCGTATCGGCTCGAAATCGGCGACCAAATCCTCGTCTCTCAGACGTGCTTTTCTGTGAATCGGTGGGTTGAACTGAAGAAAGAATACTGCTACTATTGTCGATTTGATACAAATTTGGGGAGGGGCAAACCGATCCACAATCGATCTGATTGGTAGAATTTCATTGAGAAGGTTTTGATTGGTTAATAATTTTGAGCTCATCTGAAGTAGCCAATCAGATCGATTTAAATTCCAACGACAAACCACGCCACAACACGAAATTTCACTCGAAAGCACAATACTTGGCTAGACATGATTGATGTACTACTAGGTTTGACGTGGGCGTGTGGGAAGATATGGGCACGCGCAAACACATGGAAGATGCCCACATGATCGTTCAAGTACGGTATATATATATATATATACAACGGACTCTTTATATTGTCGTTTTGCCGAATCTATAAGTTGGACTCGGATGAAAAATCCATCGATCGATGTTTAAAACTGCATGCGTTGTATATATTATGCCAATCACACTAATTACAGTCGCATGAATATGGGTTCCGACCATCGGATTGGGTGGTCAATTTATGTGCTCAGTTAATTGTGTCGTCGATTCATAGCAATAAAAATATTATTTATTTAAAATATTGAATTTATATAGATAAATTCAATTCGAAAAATTAGAAAAATAAATACTACGACAGCAACAACTCTATACTAACCACCCTATTTGGCTGTATAGGACCTCAACATTGCCGAGCTGACGGCAGCAGGCATGTACCCGCAGTCGTTTTTCGGAGTGTTTGATGGCCACGGTACGTCCACACAAGAGGCGCCCGACAACAAATCTGTGGGTAGGGGGCATGGAAGCGTCGCAGTATGTCAACGAGCACCTGCACAAGAACATTTCCAGCCACATCAGTGTACGTCACAGTGCAGTGTAGTTCGATTTGGCCTCGGTACTCACGGATACATTTATGTATGAATTGCAGGCCCAGTGCAGTACCCACCACGGCCAAAGCGTATCCAGCAATGACATGCACACTCTGATCACCCAAGTAGATATATATATAGATATATGGTGGTATATCACTGTGGATTCATCACAAGCATCGTCACCGTAGGGCCTGTCCAGCGCATTTGACACGACCGACGCAGATTTTTTAAACGTACGACATGTGTGCTATCGGTTATTGGGACTGCAAGTGGGGTAGAGTTCAAGCCGGCCCCAAGCGGGCAGCACTGCCACTACAGTCATGGTGGCGGGCTCGATCATATACGTTGCCAACGTCGGCGACTCGCGCACTGTGCTGAGTCGCCACGGACGAGCGATTCGACTCTCCAACGACCACAAACCCTCCAGGTAGTCTTGTCCTTTGAGCCAAAACACTTGGATTATTGTCCATATTGAGAGGGACTGCATTCGCTTTGTATGTATATACTGCAAGTCGACGGCCGATTTGGCTGTGTCACTCCAGTGTCAAAGAAAGCAACTACTATGCTACGACCGGATAGCTTGGCCTTCTGCTATATTTGTTATTTATTTTAAAAATACAATATATTTTTCAGTTGTAGTAGTAGATATGGACTCAGGTTTTTGTGGTCGTGGTTAGGCCGGACGAAGCGCAGCGAATTCGAGACACCGGTGGCTTTATCATTCACGGGTATATATATATATATTATAAACAAGGGTATCATTTTATTTTCTGACGGGTAGATTAAATATACGTAGTATATATATATATATATATAAATTACCCAACGACGGTATCGATGCAGTTGCAGACTATTTTTTGCTTCCAGGCGTGTGATGGGCGAGTTGGCCGTGTCAAGGGCGTTTGGCGACTCGGACTTCAAAACCTACGACGCGTACTCGTGTCATCCGTCTGGCCTGGTAATCATGCAAATATATATAGTGTCTATTCTTGATATTTGACAATGAAATAAATATTATTTAGACCCTCGAAGATGAACATGGGGTGGAGCAACCGATGGTCAATCCAAGTGAAATCCTCAAGGGCCCGTTGGTCATTTCTACGCCCGAAATTTCGCACGTCGAAATCACAGGTTGGGATTATTTCGTGTATTTAAAATGGCAAATTTCTTGATAGAACACGACGAGTTTCTACTCTTGGCATGCGACGGCTTGTTTGACGTGTTGGAAGACCAAGTAGCCGTTGACTTTATCAGGTACTATTGTACTTTGCGAACAAGGTATTTATTCACGTGAGTAGGCATGAATTGAGCAACGGGGAGGACGTCCAGCGAACCGTGGAGGTTTGACATCCGTATTTGCAGCGAATTATCACAACCTTCGTAGAACTTGGTCCATTACGCAATAGATGTCCAAGGGTCGCGGGACAACGTGACTGCGATTGTCGTGGTGCTGAATCCACACCAGTACTAGACACCCGACACCGTTTACCAAGATTAAACATACTGGCAAAGTATACTACCTTGTTCCGTCTTCGATACATTGGATTCGAAACTGAGAAAACGTCGACTTTTTCAATGCAATCGGGGCTCAAGACAAGTTAGGATGTAGAGGAGCAATCGTGTGACGGACCCTTTAGCATATGGTATTGTCCTTTTACACCCAAAATTTAGACTTTTGTGCTGATTCGCCAAATCTATCGATCTAACGTAAGCCCCAGAACTGCTTAGGTGCGAGATTATTCGCACTTAAGAGCTTGGGTATACGCGAGCATTTTGATGAACGGTGCATTATTATTATATATAATGCTCGAGTATACCCCAGCTCGTAAGTTCGAACGAAGTCGCACCTAAGCGGTTCTGGGGTTTCGCATCGTTGAGGTGGTCGCGCGGTGTCGTCAAAGCGGGCGTCCTAGGATGCATGGGTGGCTGTCGTTACTTAGGTCAGGCGAATTCTGTTAATGTATGTTCTGCATGGTGATTGGCTTTACATATCTGATGAGTAATGGGTAACTTCGGTGTGGTTAATTGAGTTTTATTACTTCAACCTACTACTAGTAGTACTACTGTACCTTACTAGTATTAGTTGATTAATTGAGTTTGGATTATCATTTTTACAACATTCCTCCGCGAGGGCCGACACTAGAACCAACCACATGTTATGGAACTGCTTCGCCAAGTGTAACGCGCCTGCTCGACCAGGGGCGGTGTGTAATCTTCGGTTTTTACTTCGCTCAACGCTTCATACCTCGTGCTTCGACCGATCTTCTTCGAAGTTCGGTCCTCGTCTTCGAACGCGGCCGGGTGGTGGTGCACGGCCGGCCGTTCTTAGTTGGTGGAGTGATTTGTCTGGTTAATTCCGTTAACGAACGAGACCTCCGCGTGCTAAATAGTCCTGCTTACCAATTTGGTAGGTAAGGACTTCTTAGAGGGACTTTCAGTGACTAACTGAAGGAAGTTGGAGGCAATAACAGGTCTGTGATGCCCTTAGATGTTCTGGGCCGCACGCGCGCTACACTGGTA